TTTTCTGGATATATTGTCCAATATATTATAAAGAACATGAAATATAATAATATTAAACTTTCTCGATTCTGTAAAATGTCTTTTCAGCAGTTAAATTAACCTAAAAAATGTGTGAATGCGGAACTATAGGCACGCGACGGGTTGTGTAAAACATTAGTTTGCAGACGTAAAACTCGTTAGATCAGCGGCATACAATTGACTCGAGGGCCACTTGGCAATTCGCTAACATGAGTTTCGCGTGACCGAATTGGCCTCAAAGTATTATCTTATAAGGGCCGCGTTTTAGCTTTCCTTAAGGGTGCTACCACCACCAATGTATATGTATATATATAAATATATGTATATATAACCAACGTAATTTCCCTTTAATATTTAATCTTACGACTATCTGCTTATAGAACTGATTGTTCGTCGGCAATTAACTTTTATAAATTGTTCATTGTTCACAAAAAAAAATACTCTTTGGCTTAATATATTTTCTCATCCTTATTTAATATTCTCTTATATTAAGAGGAGTAATAATCTTATGTAAAGGGCATTCCTCTCGTATTAAGAGGACTTTTTTTTATTTATACATATATATATAAAAAATATGAGATGGTTGATTGTGAAATTGAATGGTTTAATTTTGTTGAGAGTGACAGCACACATGTTGCCTACCTGTTATATACCAATTCGCATTCACATTCTTGAGAGTCGTTATGTTATGATGACAAGGAATGCCGCGCGTGAAATTTGAGAATTGCGCGTGTACGCACTCTGCGAAATCTTACGTATACATAATTCGATATGACAGTGACTCGCTATTGAATTTTTCCCTTATATAAAGTTTCCTCCCGATTAGTAGCATATATATATATATATATATATATATATATATATATATATATATAGAAAATACACCTCTATGCAATTATTATAACATTCGCCACTGTAAATTGACACCATTTTGCCTTTCGATATATTTATAATGTATATATGTAATTGAATTTAACCTCAACAAACAATTTATTCTATTTAAATTTATTAGACGCGAATATTGAATTACTTCAAGTTACATTCATAAAAATCAGTGGAATAATTAAAATAAGAAATAAAAAATCGTATTTAGTTAAACTAGATAGTTTCCATAGAGTTAAACTAAGTAGAAACTAGATACTTTCCATATAGTTGAACTATTCTAAAAACTAGATAGTTTCCATACAGTTGAACTATCTAGAAACTTATTGGCCGTAGCGTTACATTTCTAACTAATTTCGGTACAGTTCAACTTTACAGTAGCTATAAAAAATATAATGTAACTTTATCGTAAATGTATAGAAACCGGAAATATTTCCCCACAGGGGGTATGTATATATATATATATATATATATCGTGATTCATTCCGTGACTGAGTTTTGTCTCACGGTAAATTTGAAACGAGCTTGATGTGTAACTAGCCACTTTTTCAAGTAAATTCCAATGCGAGGTCAGCCAACAATCCCATCTTTGAATAATATGTAGACGAGGAGGTTAAGAGGCTTAGCCATTCGTTGATCTTGTTACGGAAAAACATAGGAAACAATACATGTATTTGAATCCCAACGACAGCCCTTTGTATTTATTCGCATATATATACTCAACTTCGTGCAACCCCTCTCTCATGCGTGTGTATTTTCTGACATTTCGATCTCGCTAATCTCCTGCAAATTAACTTTACTAAAGACCTTTTGCAGGACTGCACTCACCATTTTAACGCCTAACATAAACATTTACACAATAATTTATCCCTTTTATATGAAAAAAATTTGAATAATTTCTTTTTGCAACGTTTTGATCCACTTTATATTAAAGTAAAGAGTTTGGTTAGCAGTGTAATATTTAATTGATTCAACCAAAATTTGGTTGTTTTAAACAAATTTTTTTCTATGTGTTCCAATGAAAATTAAATCAAGATAGATTTTTTTCAAAATCAGCATCGTACACCCTTTCTCAAGCGGAATGCGTTTTGTTGTATATATACATATAGAAAAAAGTAGATCGGAAAAATTAATCTCTGTGACTGAGATCTGCCGGAAGATTGTGATGTCAAAAAAAAAAGAGTGAAAAGGTATGACACCCGGTATTTTGAGTTCCTCGTTCCGAAAAGAATTTTCGTCCACATATACATATCCTATATATATATAGACATACGTCAAAATCGAAAAATACAATTCTAATCCGCGCCGAAATCTAAACGGTTGCCAATCATTTCCGGTTTTCGGATTAGTCGCACGAAGTCAGTTACAAACGACAAGAGCCTCCGAGGCGTGAAACTTATTTGCCATCAGGGCGCTTTTGCCATATATACCCGACCGACAATAATAATAATGGCAAGACTGCTTAAGCGGATTATACGCGTCGTTCGACTCGTACACGCGTCCAAAACAGCCGCTCGCCATTCAAAAACTCTAGATCGAGTTTTCACGCTTTTTGACTCCTCTCGCGTTTATATATACATATACTTTCGTCGAGTGAAGATCCGTTCGACTTTTTTTTTTTTACTCAAAGAATGACAAGGATCGCCCTTTATATAAATACACACATCACGGATGTGCTTTTGCTTTTTCGAGTATAGTGAGAGAGAGAGAGAGAGAGAGAGAGAGAGAGAGAGAGAGAGAGAGAAAAAACAGGAGGCTTGATTCGTTTAATTTTAACAATAAAACCGTTTTTCAATTGTTATCGCCGCGAGAAAGAATTTTTAAATACCAACAATAACACCGGTGACAGCTTTGAATTTGTTATGGAATTGAAAATTTCATTGAAATTTTGAATATATTTTCAAAATTAGAAGGATAAATCCGGATATTATAAAATTTCTAGATGATCGGATTCGATTTCTCGATGATCCGCGCGTATATACAAAAATTGTATACGGATAGAAATTAATTAGTTTTAGTTGTTACAACTATAATATTTGCTGATGTATGATAATTAAGCTTCTTAGCTGGAATCATTTATATAGCAAATATTGTACTTGTAGAAAATTTTGACAGCAATATCAGTTAACAAAGGAAAATTTATTTTCCACAATGGACGAACAAAACATTTTCGGATATATGAAGTGCGGTACGTGTATAATAATTAACGGAATAGTATGAGCATCAACAGAATAACATCGACATTATCGATCCTGCGGCAATTATATATACACTGGCGACATTTCTCATAATCGCTGGGTAATTAATTCTTTATATATATATATATATACATACGACAAGCAAATATATATATATGCATGCAACGATTAGCAGCGCGGTTAACCATTGCTGATAATGCGTAACTGATGAAAACAGTATTATTAGGTCGTAAGTAACAATTCTGATAGTAACTGACACATGTATTGATTCTATATTGTATATATATATATATATATATATATAAAGAACGCTTCTTGTGTAACAAATTATAATTCATATACAGAAAATCTTATCTATGTAAACCTTCTGTTCGCATATGTATAAAAAATAAATATACATGCGTGACTCAAATGACAAGTTCGCTTTCGATTGTTCTAGCCCTCATTCATTAGTAATGACAGCTAATTACAATATTAGCCGCACTCGTTTCGCGATAATGTATTATCTTTGAAAATAATTGAATTAGTTTCTTGTTATTTTCTATATGGGTAAAATTTCCAGTTTTTAAAATCAAAATTCTGCGAATAATTTAAATTTTCAAAAATTTACAAAATTATTAAAAGCGGTTTTAGTCTCTAATATATATATTCCGAATGATAACATTCAAAATTTTGGTATAAGCATTTCAGGAAATATCCGAATTCCCTCTGATGTGGGAGAAAATATTATGAATAGATGCGAGCCGTAGGCAAAAGCGACAGGTATAGAGAGAGAGAGAAAGATGAATGAAACAAATGAGGGTACATAATTAAAGCGTTGTAGTGCCGAACCTTAAATTCTCTAAACGCTGTCCCAAGGGGCTTCGATCCGTTTATCTTTTTCTAAAAAAAAAAATATATATATATATATCTGATTGTCGTGTCCGTCCGTCGGACCTCTATATGGACATCCGGTTCATACGCTCTAATGGTATATTATGTCCTTGACACATCATCGCATGACTGGGGTCAAAAATCCCTCGTCATTCTCAACGACCGGTGAACAAATAGTATTTATATAATTACTAATAATCATTACATTGTTGTAACATAGACTGTTAAAATTATTCAAAATCAATGAGTGCGAGAAGATAAATTTTATTTTTCCACGAAGAATGATGATGTTATTATTTCTTTGTGGATGAATTAAAATTCCTTTCAATTTCATGCGTTTAATAAAATTCCAAAGAAACAATAGTGGAATCATTTTAATTGCAATATGCAATTTAGGTCCAACAAATGCGGTTCTTGTACCAGAAATAGATTTTCTCAATACTGAAAAAATTTTGGACCTAAGCAAAACTTTTAAGAATTTAAATTTTGGCAACTGATGTGTAATACCAAAAGTAGATCAGGTCCTGCTACAAATGGTTTTAGGTCCAACCACAAATGGTTCCAATATCGGAAATTGGTTTCCTCCAACCCTAATTGGATTCAACACCTAAAAGAGTTTTAGATATATTAAGCCAAACTTAGGTTTTTGAAATTTAAATCCATTGTAATGCCAGATGTGCTTTAGGTCCAATCACAAATATGGTTCAAAAATCGGAAATAGGTTTCCTCCAATCCTAATTGGATTGATATATCCAAAAGAGTTTTGAAGTATACTTCTGATGGTTTAACCAAGCTAAACCTAGGTTTCTAGAATTTAAATCCACTGTAATGCCAAAAGTATACTTCAGATCCAAATTTAGTAATTTAGATTTCGAATTATTTTCGTTTTAAACCTAATTGGGTTTGCAAAAACAGTTTGAAGGACTCTTAATCGTTTTACCAATTTTTCTTCAAACCTAATTTGACTAATAGTTTTGGAACTAGGACCTTAATATTTGCAGCTCTCGTTTAGTATCATCTAATACTCACCATTGGAAGACACCGAAACAGCATCATGATGACTAGCATCACTGTCCTCATCCAAATTGCTATTATTAAGTGACGATCTCGATTGATGCCTAACGCTGAGATCCCTTGGTGTCGATGGTGGACTTCCAGGTGGTTCTTGACTCTGTACACTTGATGGACTCGATGCTCCAGCAAGAATATCGGTTATCATAAATCTCGATCTATGAGGCATTGTCGTTGATGCATCACCTAAACTTCTTTCTAAACTAATATTATTATTCCTCGTGTCTAATCCATTTGACAATCTTTCCATACTGACTCCATTTCTGTCAATCATATTGTCCAAACGATGTGCATCCAAACTTGACATTCTACTCAAATTAAGACCATTACTTGTAACGGCGATACCACTCAACGCCGCCACATGGTGGTTCTGACGATGATGATGGACCGTCATCACTGACGATGATGATGATGCTGGTGGTTCCGGGGTTTTTGCGCCTGCAGGTGCCTCTGTCGCCACCCCAGGACTCACAAGGTACCTGGGAGACAGAATTTTGCTGATACAAGTACTTAGGATATCTTCAATCGAAATCCAAATCAATCATCAGACACTGCCAAATAGGAGATGAAATCAAAGAATAGAATTTTGAATTGGATCAAAAAATTATGGAAAGAAACTATCGAAAAACTGAAATCCTAATTGCTAATTGCATTATCCAGTTCGCTGATCATGTTTCACTATCACAGTTCCAAGATCCCTTTTTGATTTTTAATTTCTATCCATCAATCACTGAATCCTCACAATATATATATAGATTTTACCACAATTCACTCAATTCACTGAATCCATTTCAAGTCACAAATTATTTATCACATAAAAACAAACAATTAACAAAAAATTAAAAACACTAAATTAAACACACAAAAAGAAGAGTAATTTTTTCTTTTAGCACGTGCACCGGCTCACGATTTCTGAATGATGATATATATATATATTAAAAGGCAGAACCGTAACTATACAGGGGGAAATGATATTGTGGTACAACGTGTTCCCAAGTCTGAGGCCACACTGAACAACAAACGTGACATCAAGGAAGTTCGTTGGGCGGCCATATCGAAAAACGTCACGCCCAGAACTTCTCCCCCTTTTATGCAATGTCAGCCAATCAGCCACGGGATTTGTTAAGGAATCAACCAATCACATTGATGGTGGGGGAGAAGGAATTCACCCCATGGTGCGCGGGATACGCCCAAGTAATTTGAAATGTGTTTCAGCAGTAATTCGATATAAAATTGTAGTTAATATCTTTCATTATAGTCGCTCTCATAGCGGGTCAAGGGGTGAGGGGGGAGGAAGGGGAGATGCATTCAACTCTTACGCCACCGTTTCTCTTAAAGTGAGAAGGGGTGGGGGAGGGAGAGAGAGGAGGGATAGAGAATCTCATGGTATAGGGGGAAAGGGAGAAACAGAAGAAGGGATTTGAAGGACAGGAGGAGAAGAAAATCCGATGGAAGTGGATATAGTTGAGGGAGTCACGTTTCTCTCTCTCTCTTACTCTCTCTCTCCCTGCCCCCCCCCCAGCGAATTAACGAATCCCGAAGTCGTTCCTCCGAGTCGGTGATTTTGCCCCACCATATCTTTCAAATGGGTTTTATTTCTTCTCGCTCGCAGGAAACTTAATAGCTTCGACGAAATGACGAGAAGTCTCCTCTCTCTTTCTCTCTTATACTCACTCTCCAATTGTACAATGTTTACACCGTAATCGTAATTTGCACGATTGCAAAAACTTTCCGGATTAAGTACGTCCTTTCAGAAATAATTTCCTTTTTAATCGTTTTTCTTAAATATTTCATTTTCTTTTTTTTTCATCGATTTTATATAAAGTTATAATTTATATTTCCGAGGGTTGTTATTTAATAAGTTTTGATAAAGAACGGAATAATTGAGTTTCATGCATTTTTTTTTAAATAAATAAATACATGTGATTTTCCACGAGAAAACTTGTCACTAAACATAACCTAAAATTTTTTATCATAAAATCCCTTTTATCGTGGAATGTCACATATATCTAAATTTAAATTAGGAAGATTTTATAGTCCGAAAATTACTGAATAACTTCAGTAAAATTTCCACAGAAATTTCAGTCATATTTCACTGAAAATTAGTAGAATTCAACTTTACTGATTGGATCAGTCAACTCTGAATTACCATTAATCGGTAAAACAGATTTGACTGTTTTACCGATTAATGGTAATGCAGATTTGACTGTTTTACCGATTAATGGTAATGGAAAGGTTATGAGGTTATGTTTTTGGTTAGTACTCTTTTTTGCACTAAATAATAGTATAAGAATTGATAATTGAATAATAAAAAATAAATTATTTTTATTTTATATGCATGTATATATGACTATATAGAATATGAATAATTTATTTATTCCAGCAATATATAGACCAGTAGTAAAATTGAATCATTGTATATAGTATATAGAATAATAGAAATTAGGGGTGGTGACATCATTTAATTTAAGGGTGCCCTCAAGCTATATACGTGAATATGTTCAAAAAACTATATAACAATATACATAATGAGCACATATGGCTTTTCGAAGCTTATTCTTTTAACGCCTTATATATATATAGTATATCCATTTCGATAATTACAATAGATTACAATTTTATTACAGATATATATATAATTATTTTTCAGACTAATTTTTGTTTTTTAAATTGGCATTTTATTTGTCCGAAACTGCAAATGACCGAACAAATAATATCGGTATATAGAAAGAATTGGGCGCGATTTCTTAAAATTGGTTTGGTATAAATTTATAAATAAAAAATCGGTCAATAATAATTCTGTTAAGTAAATTTTTAATAATTTAATAAATATTTACAAATAATTTAAAGCACAACTAAACGGTCTGAATGTATATATATATATATATAGTTGTGGGAGCAAAAAAAAAGTTAACGGAGCCTATAATGTGGTCGTCAAGGCGTGACACGGCTCAAACGCGTAAAAAGCTAAGTGCGCGTTGCTTTTTTCCTATATGTAAGTGCACATAAGTACAAATAATTCTATATATACATATACACTCGAAGATACATAAAATGAGCGAATTACACGAACGTGGAAACGCTTCGTTCATCATAAATAAACATGATGAGAGAGTCAGTTCCATCAGAGTCCTGACGGTATAATATACTATATAATATTTGTGAGTCGAGAAAGAAAATATTAATTGCTTATCTCTTAATGAAACCTAACTTGTTTTCAATCATCTTTTTATACTAAAAATCAACGACCCATTTACTTTCATTAATCTTCTTTTGATTTTTTTAAAAGAATTTATATGGTTTCTGTCTGTCTGTCTGTCCGTCGTATATCCGCTTCTATAGGTCCATATCTTTATAGAATATTCAATCAGACGACGAATTAACAATTACAATAAAATTGTATTAATAATTATTATAATCTAAAACAAGGAAGTTTAATAAAGTTCTACAATAAAGAATTTTCACTTATTTTTCGTTGCGTGCACAAAAATAATGTATTCTGTGGATATTTTAATTGCTCATTAGTCTTTATTACTGGCAAATTAAGAATATGTAAATTTATAGGTAAATAAAATTTGTCTTTATAGTTTAAGACTTTTAAATTACAAATGTGAATATATTTTTATAATTTTTATTTATATGCAATAATTGCATTTGAAAAGAATTACTTTTTTGGGTACATTGGAGATAATTAATTCTCTCTCTCTCTCTCTCTCTCTCTCTATATATATATATATATATATATATATATATATATATATATATATATATATATAAAATCGTAGATAGCTAATGTGCGTGGTATATATAAACACACTGTTATAAGAGGTTTGTGTGCAAGAATAATATGAGCACGCGTAAAGGGGATCTAGTCTCGCACTTATAATATACCTTTGTACCGTGTCCAATGCATATTCATACAGCCATACATTATGGCGATGTGTACGGGTAGACCGCGCGTTGATCTTAGATTAAGGTAAACGCCGGTTAAGTTAACGGCTAAACTCCATAAGTCGGGAGCACTCGCATGCGCATCACATATACAACACTATATATATATATACATACACTGACGTTTAAAGCTCTGTAAAATAGACCCTCAGCATACTTTATACTAACACTTTTGAAAATACTTAAAAATTAACTGTATTTTAATTTTTAAATATATATTTATCAATAGCTTAAAAAATTATGTTACACTTTTCAAACAATTTTGGTTAATAACCACTGAAATTTCTTACATGTATTGGATTTTTTTTTTTTAAATAAACGAAAACTTAACTTAAAGAAAATTTGAATTTCGCACCGAAATTCCTTACCGACAGAACATAGATGGGAAAAATTGAATTAAATAAAAATTAAATATTCTCTCTAAATCTGAATCAGTGATATTTCACTGATTAGCAGTAGAAATCTACTAATTGCCATAGCGAGAATTAGTAAAATTTCTACTGATTCAGATTTAGAGAGTTTCTTTAAATTTTTTAAAATTGAATAAAAATCTTATATATACATAACAAGAGAATTTTAATTTATAAGAGGAATTAATTTCTTAAATTCATAATAAAAACTTTTATATATTTCATATATAAAAGTGTTTAAATGAAATAGAAGTTTCTTTTAAGGAAGAATTACAACATGCGCTCGCGCGCATTTTTATAATTAAAAAGTCTCTTCCTGATATTCATTATCGAGATGAGAAAAGTAAACAAGTTCATTTTATATATATATATATTATACTCATTGTTGCACGCATGAGATCCATTGAAAACAAATCGCACTTTCTAATCGATTCATTTCTCACTCTTAAAATGTGGTAATTGTGAGAAATTAATTTTAAAAAGTAATCCACTCAATTTCGAGGGAAAGAAAGAGAGAGGATTTAATGACGATGATAAAAATATTATAAACCAGGAAGGAGAAAAATAATACGTTGCGTAAATAGTAACATTTCTTCCGGTTCTGCCTCATATTGTATATATATATATATATATGTAAAATTTCTTGATGGATTTTCTCTCGCGCCTAATTTCCGCACAACTCGCGCCCTTGGAAATTCATTATAATCTTAATGAGCGCACTTAGCATTACAAACGTAAGATCGAATCAGGGGTTATATATATAAGTATACTTTGTTCGTGTACACCTCTTGTATAAATATGTTCACACGCACACAGCTTCACTAAAAACGCGATATATATAACCCTTCTCATATCGGTTGGTTTAAAAAAATTAGTTCAACTTGAGCGTGCATGAAAAACCTATTTGTGGGACGCGAACAAAGTGATTAATACGCTTGGTATCGCGTGATGCAAGAGTTAAATGAAAAACGTATCAGGAAAAGCATTAATTTTTTTAACACTCTAATGAACTTTTTTTTAAATGTTATATATATATATAAATATGGAATGTTCTTTGTCAAGAGGAGTACCCCCCATATCTTTCAAGAAATGATTTAATTTAAAAAAATTTAATATTGAAAAAAATCAGGCAGTTACGAATCCGATGTTAAAAATTTAAAAAAATTTTAAAACAAAATTTTCTAGAATATATATTTGTAAAAAAAAAATCGTCTTCGAAGGGTTTCAAAAGTTGAAAGTGGAATTCCAGTTGCGAATTACCATCAGTAAAGAGATCGCGTTACGTCTAAGAGCCTCCATTACCGGCAACTTGCATTGATAGCAACCAACCGTCTTAAAAACCGCCTTAAAAGCCGCACTTTAACGTCTTAAATTTCTTCTTTTTCTAAAAGTATAATAAGAAACAACATTTTTCTTATCTCGTTCCTTTTTTCCCCCCCAAAAAAAAATAAGAAAGCACTTGAAAACTTTTTTAAGGAATAAGCTTTTCCCTAGAACATTTAATCTAGGAACTAGTAGGACTGACTAATAGGACACTAGTCAGTTTCTCTTGGTAGGGGCAGGTAGGGAAAACTACTTAGTACCCCATAAGGCCCATGTTTTAATTTCTGCACAAGTATTTTGTTTTCTATTTTCCATCCCTAGTAAGGAAAATGAGCAA